TCCATCCTTTCTCAACAAGCTCGTGCAGTTGCTTGCGCAATTCCTCAAGTTCCCTAGGAGACATTCGGTAAATGGGACCCTTGGGAATCTTGCTTCTAGGAATAATCTCGATCGTGTGCTTAATAGCACGCTCAGTGATTCCCGTCGGCTCAGTTTGCAAGTCCTTATATTCGTAGATAAGTCTTTCAATAGAAGGAGGATAGGATGAGGAACACTCACCTACTCGTTTAACGAGTACCATCATTACATCCTGATCCAACTTCTTACAGACCATTGACCTGAAGGCTGGGTAACTCATACAACAGAAATACAAGGTTGAGTCAGAGCCAGACCTGTGGTATAACTTTATCGCTCGAGTTTCAGACTTCTCGTCCTTTAACTTGACAATTTTTTCTTTGAACCTGACTTCTGGGTCGGCTTCCTCAGGCCAATCCATTCCCAGAATGATATCAAATGACAGGTTTTTTTCGATTCGGAAGGATATCTCGTGTAAAATCTTATTTCCTTCCTTTGTCCTGAAATATCACTTGACACGATCGACGTATTGAAAGACAGTGATCGTGCTCTTGTCAGCCAGCATAGACGTGATAGGTCGAGGTAAATCCTTTACCTTCATTCCCAGATGCAATTTGCAAATTGCCTTCTCTGAGATATAAGACCGCGCTGATCCTGGATCTAACAGTGCACCTACTCGCGTGTGCGCAATCTCAATATCCGCGATCATTAACTCACCCTTAGACTTAGCGCTCTTAGCCCACGAACTCTGAAGTGCTAGGAGTTCATTACCGAGCTCGTCAAGGGAATTGTCTAGTGAGACAGAGCAAAGAACAATGTCAGGGTGCTCTGGACGATGGGCTGAAGAAGAGCCATCCTCTGCCATAAGAGTAGAGGGGTTAGAAAGGGTTGTTGGCGCCTTACCTTTGTCTACACCCTTCGACTCAGTAGGAGCAGATGCTACTCCTACTGGCTGCTCGCTTTTGGGTTACGAATTAGTGGGCACCAGGCTATCACATGCCCAACGGTCCCACACTTAAGGCATTGGCGGTTGTCCATTTTGGACTGCCATTCCTCACGTGTCATCCCCATCCCATGGCTTCTCGAACGCGATGCCGGGGTGCTCGGGAAACGAGCATGACCTCCTCTTCTTCTTCCATTGGCCTTGGCCTCCCCCGTTGGCCACTATGGCAGTGACGTCACCCTTCCAAGACTCACTGCCGCCATTACCTCCTCCTCCCTTAGACTCATCGAGGGGTAACTTCTGCATTGTATCGTCATCGAAAATGACAAGCATGTGATCCTGGCATTTTTGCCGCCAAAGGACCCGCTTACCATATCCACCAACTGGTCCCGACTTTACCACTGAAGCATAAGAACCCTTCACCTCCGTGGTCATTTGCTCTCGTTGGAGAGCAAGATCGCGAAACTGCTGATAGTTGTACTTACAAAACCTGGCCTCGGCCACGAGCTGTCCGCGAATTGGCTCGGGCAAGACCCGTGAGTAGATGTAGAGGACCTGGTTATCCTGCAAATTCAGTCCAGGTACCTGCAAAAGACAATCAACGTCACGGGACAATGCATCCACGGATGTCCAACGCTTCTAGCCTATTGTGGTGAGTTCGTCAAAGGAGATACTGTCTCAACGTGAGTTCTTAGCCCACTCACCAATGTCTTCGAAGCGAGCAGCGTTGGCCTCGGACAACACCCACTCCCTGGCCACTCCTCCCAGACATGACGTAGAGAAAGTCATCGGACTCTCAGGCTCAACTGGAGCGGTGCCGCAATAAGTCTGGATCTTCGCGATCCACAACAACAAATTTTCATCTTTCTTGTTGTTGTAGGTGAACGGCAGTTTCATCTTCACTTTTCTTTTCTTTTTGTTTTTTCTGCTTCTTTAGCCGGTTCTTCCTTTTTGGTGGTATCATTTTTCTTTTCTGCCGGTCTTTCTGGTTCCTTCTTGGAACTCTCGGGCGTCTTCAGCGTCACCTTAACTTCCTTCATTGCATCCTTCATTAGCTGTTCCTGGGGTTCTCCCTTTTTCTTTCCGCTAGCCTCCTCCTCAACTGACATCTTACCTTTTCCCTTGATCATTCTAGTCATAGTTTCAAGGGCCGCGGTGTTACTGTCAATCTTTATCTCAAGGTGAGCAAGGTAGGCCATCAAATTATGAAGGACAGATGGAAGATCCATTTCGGTTCCTTCAAAATGAAATCGCTGTTTGATTTTAACCACTTTCCTATATTGTTGTTCTCTTTCTATTCTTATCCTCCTGTATTCCTCAATCTTCCTTCTTTCTTCAGTCAATGCATCCTCCAACTGTCTGATGTTTCCCAACATAATTTCTTCAGACAATTCAGGTGCTTTCTCTTCCTTACTTGTTTCTCCTGCTGCTTCCTTTTTGTTCCCTTTGGTTACTTCTCACAGTTGGTTAAGCACAACTTTATCCAGAGCCTGTCGGCTCTGAATAATGGTCTTTTGTACATGCGTGCAGGCTTCCAACAACTGAACAGAAGTCTCCGCCTCCTTTAGTTCGTTTTCTGCTGCACGCAGATCGAACTGACGGCGAACTTGCAGTTCAGCATCGACATCAACAGAATGTAGATCAGACATCAACTGCTGCAAACGGCCCAACATCTCTTGCCGTTTGGTCTCAATCTGACCACGGGTTTTCAGGTCACCACCTTCCTCATCAGCGAAGAAGGTCATGGTGACGGGGAAGAAGAAGTAACGAATAAATCGAGTCAAGACAGAGAGATGCAGGGAATTCCAGAGGTAAGCCATTTTCAAAATGTGTATTCGCCGCACAATAAATAATTACAGAAGACAAAAATAAATTCCACGGCACACGCAATTCCTACAGCAAGAAATAATCAAGGCAGACAGGAAGAAACAGATTCTCAATTTTTCTAAGTCTTAACTTTGTTGTCTGTTCTCGGTGTGATGACGTACTATAGCAAGTGTACAGGTACCGCAGCCACGGCCAGTGTGATCAAGACAACAGCACACTTGTGAGTATGCACAGCAACCACAGAACAACCATCAGGTGAGTAGATCAGCCAACACAACAACACAATCAATGGTTAGATTCCTTCCTCTGTGGCTGTACCATCTACAGAAACAATGCAACCAAACATAAGACCAGCACACAAGTGCACACTCAACAGTTCTCCCACAGCAACGTGTTATGCATGCCACGTGTCACCACTGGCATGCCAACGCATCAGCTCTATGGAGTCTGCCACACCAGCGTCAAGGACCTAAAAGGTCTATGGGGGGGGGGATGCCACGTCAACAATGCATGTTCGCAACACACACAACACTGGCATGCCACGTCAGCGCTTCATCAGCAAGCAATCGCAACACTGGTACGTGCCACGTCAGACCATGCCCTGCCAGAATGCCACATCAGCATTCCATGTCATGCCACGTAGGCAGTGCGCCACATCAGCGGTCCCAGTCTCACACTCTCTCTCTGGACCAGCGCCACGACAGCCTGTTGCCAACGAAGCTCTCGCCGGAATCTCGAAGTCTTCAGTGTAGCCACGTCATGACCTTCAAGGGAGGCTGCACGCATGTGCGGTACTCAATGTCTAGACCTGCGTTATTGATCGCGCGCGTTAATAAACGCGTTTTGTCCTGCACATGCGGCACCTCCCACTTACCTGGGTGCCACGTCAGCACCTGACAGCAGATTGCGATGAAGGAGTATGCTTCGATGCCAAATGGTAATGAACCCTGTCTGGAAGATACTCATCAGACGTCAAAGTTCAGGCAGTCTCAGATCTGCACAAAGTCTCCAGTTAGTGTGAAGTGATATCTGATACAGTATCTTGTTACCGATAGACGAAGAAAGTGGAGGGAGGATAGACAAAGGAGAGGGTGGAGAGAGAATCAATGACCACACAAAAGTAGCCCAACCAATCCCACTCCTTCTCCGGGCTTTCTCTCCCTCCACGACAACAGTCAATAAACAGTAACAAGTCTGATAAGTCCTGATGACATAGAAGTGCCACGTGGCACTATTCTTCCATGGAGACAATGAAGACAACCAGCAGCATACAATATCGACGTCACCCTCAGGTAAGTATCATTTCCCTCAATCGTCCACAGATCCCGATCTTTCTTCTTATCGCAACTGGTCACCTCATGTAGACAGCATGGCCAGTGCCACGTCAGCAGAAGAGACAGGTGGCATGTGCCACATCAACAATGAAGATGGGTGGCAGCGCCACATCAGCAATGCAATGTAGACAGGTGGCAGAGCCACATCAACAATGTAGACGAGTGGCCTGCGCCACATCAGCAGTGTAGACAGGTGGCATACACCACGTCAGCCAGGTAGACAGGTGGCAGCGCCACATCAGCAATGCCTGGCGCGCAAAGCAGAAAGCGCCAGCATGCTGCCACAGTCTCGCGTCGACGTCCACAGTGCCTGCGCACAGCCAGAGTCAAGCCAGCGTCTCGGCAGCGTTGTGCCAGCATCAATGCCAGTGTCCAGTCAGAGTCAAGCCAGGGTCAAAGCAGCATAGCAAGACTGAATGTTGACCTCCTGGAGACCAAGCTTTAAGTAGTGTTTGACGAGGCTGTTGGCCTCAGGTCTCCGTCCCCACAGTCGTGCAGATTGACTCACAACCGAGGGCCTGGATTGTACAGTTGCAGATTTTCCCCTTGGTCCTGATGCTGGCTGGAGGGAGCGGGTATTAATGAGAATACAGTAATTTCAATTCTATTTTTGGTTTAAGTGCTTCCACTGTGTATTATCTCATCCGTTGTGGTGTGAATTGCTCTCTCCAAGATCTCTTGTCGTTTCGCATGTGTATGGGAACATGTGAATGCCATGCTGTATCTTGTTTCAATCAGGCACATAACAGCAGTACATGTATTATACTATTATTTGAATTAGATTGTGTGAAATTGTGAATGTTACTGACTGATGTTGGGTATATAATATGATATTTGTGACACATGTGACCTGTAATTTGTGTATGTTCTGTGTATGCCAGGGATGTGTGACAACTGTGCGGATCCCAGGCCAGTCGTTGACAAAGATGTTACAGGTGAGTGGATGCATGAAGAAAATGGCTCGGCTTCAAACAGGAAGGTGTCTCGCGAGCAAAAATAAAAAAACAGAGAAAAAACTTCAAAAAACTTGAAAAAAGTGTCCAAGGCTCTGATTACAGGAAGTAGATGGAGAAGAAGATGAAAAGAAGGAATCTTGTCTTACCAACTGTGGTCGGTGGACTATTGTTTTGTCAGATGGGAAGCATGAGAGTTTGCCAAAGGAAAGCCTTGTACATGTTGCCATTCATGCGAAGCCACCGTACCTTCCCCATGCCCATGCACAGAGGGCATTATCAGACACTCAATGACATGAGGCCATCAATTTCCCGTCCCTCTTGTTGCACAGATTTTCAGCCTCCTGAGCCCCCTCTTTGTTTCAAGTTTTGTTCTTGACCTGTGGAGTGTTCTGGAGCTCCCAGCGATTGTGACTTGCTATTTCCCCAGCTCAGCCAATTCGGCCCAATTGTGAATTGCGAGTTGAAGCCCTGCTGAGTGCCACTTTCAGATGAAGGACCGTGGAGAAACATCGATCCCCTGTTTTTTTTTCAAATTCCTAATCTTTTTCTCTTAGACCCCATTGATCCCCTGTTTTATTTTCAGCAAAATAAAGGAAACATAATGTCTTTTGCCAAATATTTTCATGCAGTTTTTTTTCTGAGGTAACATTGTCTGTTTCGATGGATATTTTTTTTTTGCAGCAAAAAGATATCAGTTTTGTTTCCGATACTTGGTATTTTGGGACGCTGGACCCGGTTTCCAGCAGGTGATGCTCCCCACCAATGGAATTGTTACGAACTCCGCCAGGGCTCGATCCCCGAAGCATATAAAATTATAAATCAATGAAACTTTCAGAAAGGAAAACATCCTCTGCAGCAGATGTATGTGTGAGAAGGAAAGTACTGACGTGATGGGTGATACCTAGGATGTGATTAACAGATCACCTGCTCAAATAGTGTTTGACACAATAATATTTGCACCTCCCCCTCCCTCTTTAAGCGAAGGAAAAAGGTTATGATCATCACTGAGATGGTCAAAAGGTGCCAGCTTTCGCCACGGTCAGGCTGTGTAGGTAAAAGAATGGAGTGTCAAAGGCTTGTCTGACAACCTGACACCCTGGTTAGAGTACAGTTGTGCACATTGGCGGCATGATGAGGTCCTCTTTCATTTGGCTGAAACAAGCTCTTTGCCGATTATTGCCCCCTTTTCTCTGCTTTCTATCCCATGTTAGCTCTCGATGGAAAACCTCCCTCCCTCCCTCCCTCTCTCTCTCTCTCTCTCTCTCTCTCTCTCTCTCTCTCTCTCTCTCTCTCTCTCTCTCTCTCTCTCTCTCTCTTGTGTGTGCACACCTGCAATCTCTCTCCCTCCTCCCCCCACCCGTCTTCTCTTAGACCGCTACTGCCCCTGATATATTCAAAATGTGCATGTGTGTGCCCGCAGCTGACCTCGGGGTGGGTTAGGGTGTCAGGTGGTAGCGGTTTGCTGCTTTTCGCAGAATTCGGAATGAGCCACCTTCGGGGATTTATGGTGCTGAGAGTCCTTGACGAAAAGTGGTTTAAACTTTAATAACAGCAATATAGACTGTGAAGTTTGAACTCATCTCTAGGCCGTGGGGAGGGTGGGGAGGAAATGAAAGCAAAACTTGCTGCAAAAGTTACAATTCTGGGATTTCTGGGGGCAAACGATGCCATGTGAAATAAGATGGAGAGGTGGTAGTCTCATTGTGAAAGTTTTAGTTTAAGGCCGATGGGGAAAGAAAGAGGGAGAGGTGGTAGGCTCATTCTGAAATAAGTGGCGCTGGTATTGGATGATGCCATCCAGCTCTTCCTGCTCTGCCTGCACATGTGTAAAACGTGCATTCTCTCTGGAATCTGGATGTGAAAGAATTTCAGTGCATCTATTTCGGCGATAATCAATAGTATGGGAGCTTCACAGAAAAACAGCAATGCCTATGTGCTCTTTGTTCTTTGGCAGTGGTTTGCCTCGGCAAACTGACCTATCCTCCAAGGGTTCAACATTGGCTACCTTTTTGCATTATGTACTTTTGAAGATACCCATGGTTTGTTTTGACTTGTAGAGCATGCAAGGGCACTCTTGAGAGTGGTCGAGGAGATTAACCGGAAGGATCAGAAGGTGACAATGCTCCAACTGGTTGATCAATGGAAACGTCAGCCAGGTGAGGCAAATGAGAGTTTCCACGTCTACCCATGTTGCTGACTTTTTCTTTACCCTTATACCTCCGGACCCCGGGTTGAGAAAATGAATCGTGCTCTCCGGAGTAGCTTTTGTGCTTCCCAGCATTGCTTTTTGGGCAATTGCTATTTAACCACCAGTACCTCCTAGCCTCTTTTCCCGTTCTGCTGTGCATCGATTTTTGTTGAATCAGCGAGGGCCCGAAATGAACTTTTGGGTGGCACTGCAAGCCTTTTCTTTCCAGTAGGCCAAGCCCCGAGAGACATGGCGCATTAATGGCCCCATCGGGACAAAATAGGTACTGGTGGTTTAATGCAGATCTAGGCGGTGTGATGGCTGCCTGGGGTGGCCTTTCGGCTCTCTGGGGTGGCCTTTTATGATAACGACTATGAACGAGTATGAATTCCGTAGGTGAGGCAGTATACTCTTTTTCATGTCGTCAGGTTGTTGAACAAGCAAACCAACTCCACTTAGTAACTGGATGCATGACAGAGCTGGACAGGAGAGTGGCACAACATGTTGGGAAAATTGGCACTGCCGGAAAGATGGATGGCCAGAGATGGGTGAATGTCCGGGCAGGACACGTAGGTTTATTGGCATGATGTAGGACCATTATAGGTAAACATAACTTAAAATAAGAAGATTGAATGAGGCTGAAGGTGTGGTAGCGGGGATGTACACATGGATGGGCAGAAGGGCAGAGCAAGAGTTAGGGACAATGCTTCTGCTTCTGCTTCTGCTGCTGCTATTCATTCTTCTTCTTCCTTTCTCTCATTTTTCTTCCAGTCTTCATTCACTTGAGTCGCAATTGAAGGGCATTGCATTTTTTTCACCAATTTGCAAGGTTCCATGACTGCTAAGTAGTTTCTTTGGCGTTAGCAATGTGCATTCAAGGCAGGCAAACTCCAAGATGATTGTTTACCCGTTCTCTTTTTCAGGGGATTCGGGGCGTTTAGCACGAGAATTGACGAAGGAGGACACTGAAAGGGTTGTGACCCAGCTTTTGCTTTCAGGTTATCTGGTGAGTGGTGATTAAATAGAAACAATTTGAACTGAAAGGGGTTATATTTAACTGGAGTTTATTGAATTGCAGTTATGTAGTTCTTGAATCGAAGTTATTCAACTCAAGATCATTGTGGATCGCACCTTGTCAGGGTCCCAGTGACTCCCACACAACATGATGATCGATTGTTCCCCGCACTGTTGGACACCTGGCACAGCCTCACTTCACTCGTTCTCTCCATGCCCTAACTTCCCTCCTGTTTGAACTTCAGCTCTTTATGTTGCTTCATGGTCTTCCACCAGCCTCTGTGCTAGACTTTCCTCTCCTTTCCTCCAACCATCATCTAATATCTTCACACATCACACTATCTGTTGGAATTTACTCATGACGGCTCTTTGCTTTTTCTCTTCGCACATGATGCCCAATCGTTTCTATGGTCATCTTACTGAAGGAGGGACAGAGGGCCAAAGGTATGGAGGATCAGAGTGGGGGCGTAGAGTATGAGGGACAGGATGAAGGGACAGATGGATGGACTGATGGATTGACGGATGGATGGATGAATGGATCGATGGGTACATGGATGGATGATGGACAGATGAATGGATGGATGAATGGAATATTGGATGGACAGAGTTGGCATTGCGAAGGAGGGAGGTGGGGCGGCGTCACAGAGGGAAGGATGGAGGGACAGAATGAGGATGGGAGGGAGGGACAGAGTGAAAAACAGATGGAGCAAGACAGATGGAGGTCGGGGTAGGGGAAAGGTGGACAGTGTATAGAGGGAGAGAGAAACAGATAGATTGAGTAACGACGGCATGTGGAGTATGGAAAACGGGAGGAAAGAGGGGTGAATGGACTGATGGGTATATACAAAGAAAAGGACACAAAATTGGTTTCAGGGCCTTCGGGCAACCTCACAGTCCTTCGATGCCAGCCTGAGCAAATGAACAATCCATTTGTCATTGTCCTCCCGAAATTTTATTCTGAAATGATAGCCAGCTTACCCCACAAACAACTCTGCTTCTCCTCTTCTGCCACACCTCGATCTTTCTGTCACATCTAAAAATGTTTTAAACATCCCCACCACCTCTGCAGAACCTCTGGGGTCGACGTACTTGTGCCTCAAATGAAGCTGTAGTTCCCCGCTTGGATCTTTTTTTTTTGTCCTTCTAAGAAATAGGAGAGTTTTTCCAAATCAATGGCAGCACAGACTCCGCAATTAGACTCAGTCCACAGCGACAACAGAGAGGAGAGATAGGTAAAAGTGGACTTCAATTACAAACAATAGCGCTTCCGACTTCTTTCACTGCACTGTCCCAGCTCACAGCAACAGAGAACTGAGCTCATAGCCTCTCTTTCTCCCCATTGCACCACTCCAATCCATCTCATAATGTCGGGGGATTGGAACGCAGCATTGGACCTGGGATTGGATAGAATGTCCGGAGGAGCTTTGGGGATGGGAGGAGCGGCTTAGGACGAGGCAGCACCTATACACAACCTCATAATGGAACATCAACTAATCGATCCTTATCGCATGAGGCAGCCCACAACCAGAGTTTTCACTTACCTCAAATGCAACCACAGTCAACATGTCTCGGCTTCCAGAATTGACTTCTTTCTTATCTCAGAGAACCTCCGAGGAGCGGTTCAAGCGATGGGCATCAGTTAGCTGCCATACGCTGCGGGGTTGGATCACAAATTCATATATCTGCATCTACTCCTAGACGCGGTTCCGAAAAGGGGACCGGGCTTTTTTTTAAGTTAATAACTCACTGCTGGGAAACTAGAGTCGTGAAAGAGCACATCATCGAAGCTTGCTCCGCATGTGGTACAAGGGCCAATACTTTTCCACAACTTGTGGGAAGCCTGTCCAATGCTTCAGCAAAGGCATCCAGGATCATCGCGGCACGGAGAATGGCAAAGGAGAAGGAGCTAGAAGCGGTTCTGCGAATAGCTGAGCAGGATTTGATAACCCAACTCGGACAGACACACCTTGAAGAAGCCCTCTTTGCAGCGAAACGCCAGCTGTCGAATTGGAAGGCCTGGAAGGACGCATGGCTACGTCTGCGAGCCAGAGTCAAGGAACTGGAGCAGGGAGAAAAAAATGTTTAAATTTTTCTTCCAGAAGATCGAAACAAACGCGTGCAACAAACTCATAGACCAGCTTCAGAAGGGGGACAGTACAAAGTCAGATCCACATGAGATGCTGACCGTAGCAGCGGACTTCTACAAGCAGCTCTACACCTCAAGGGAGGACCAGCATCCTCCTGCCGAAGTATGAGAAACACGACAGAAATTCCTTGCACACCTCGATAAAACTCTGTCGCAAGAGCATAGTGTGGAGCTGGACAAACTAATCACAGCAGAGGAGGTCAAGGTAGCGCTGCCCTCCTTGCAACCGAACAAAACTTCGGGACGAGATGGATTGTCGAAGGAATTATGGCCAATCTTTGAGAGAGAATAGACCAATTTCCTCAACACAGCCAACCACGAAGGACTGGCCAAGTACATAAGTACAGGAGTTGTCACACTGCTATACAAAAAGGGAGACCCCACAGATATCAGAAAATTACCGACCGATAACGGTACTCACATTGGTGTACAAGATACTGGCCAAACTTTTGGCCAATCGGCTTAGTAATATCACCTGGAGCTGCTTCCACATTGATCAGACCGGATTCATCCCCGGGAGATTCATCCTTGACAAGAGTCAGCGCAGTACATCACAAACAAGAAACTCAATGCTGCCATACTCTTTTTTTTTTTTTGAGAAGGCATACGATCAGGTCAACTGGAACTTTCAGCAGCAATGTATAGAAAAGATGGGTGTTCTGACTTGCCGGTGGAATAGGAACCGGACTGACACTCCCCAGAATAGGAGCAGCAGGAATACGTGCAAAAAAAAAGAAAAAAGAAAAAAAAAGAAAAAAAAAAAAGAAAAAAAAAGAAAAAAAAAAAGGGTGCTCTTATCTTTTCCATGCTCTGGTACGCAGCAACCATTTGGACGTCGGAGTCGTGTATGACAAGTGCTCTCAAAACGCGATCCACAGCTTATCTGTGGACTGGTAATCCTTCCACCCAGAGCTTCATTCCCAAGTTTGCCTGGGCATATCTCACACAACCTAAAGGACGAGGAGGTCTGGGAATTTTGGACCCACTCACACAGACCAAAGCTTTGCAGACCAAGTGGATAGTGAAACTGCTCACTAACCACACACTGCCTTGGACTTCCTTGGCGCTTTACAGGATCAGACAACTACCTAAGGCCTCCAACCCATCTAGCATTACAGTATACTACTGGCTGCTGTCCAAATCATGGGCCGCCTGTCGGAGAGTACCACAACAACATCACCAACAACCACAATGCAACTCTCAAACAAACTACTAGATGTATCTCCTCAAATCTTGAAGGGAAATCTTGCCGGCCAAGACTCGCCGATCAACAAATAGGGAAGAAGTCTTACGCCAACCTCTCTTCTGCAACCAATGGCTCAAAAACCAAGCTGATAAACCTTGGACACTAACGACCCAGGATGGACGCTGGATCACGTGGTTGGATCGGGGAGTCTGGAAAATAAGCCACATATGAATCAGCAGCACAACCGCTGGAAAACTTGTCTGGAACTCCGAGATACGCTCAAGGGTTAGCACAATCTGCAAGATAACCTCACTGCCCTCCTCCAGTCAATTCCCCCAAAATGGCAGCTGCTTCTGCAGGCCCCCTCCACATGGAAAGCAGGAGAGTGGGCCACGGGAAGATGGGAAGCTATCCCGACAGTGGCCTTATCTCGTGTCAAATGCACAGGTCCTGCAGGAGACTGGGCATTGTGGTCCATTCACAACATACAGCATCCAGGACAGACCATAAGTGTTGTCTCCAAGACGATTGCGGCCGAAGTAACGGCCAGGATGTTGGCAATGAAGAAAGTGAGGGCAATTGAAGATGATGAATACATGATCTACAACCCTATAGAAGAATTGCAAGACCTTGAATTCATCCCAACAGAGTGGGCATGGAAAACATCCTCCGCTCAAACGGGGGCGGAACACAGAACCAGCATCCTCGATTACACAACCCGGTTTGGCTACAAACTACTGCGGCGAGCAGTCAACACAAGTGACACACTTTCAACAAGATGGCAGAAGCATGTACCGGTTCTCAGATCTCGTGGCAAGTCCCTTTAGCAATCAGAAACGCCCGCATCAGAAGTATGCAATGACTCATCTATTATCATGCACTACAAGTCAACAAGTGGCTAAGCAGGCGACGTTCACAGGTGCCAAGGCAACCACTAGACGACCTCTGTGCTCTTTGCCACGAGGGTGTCTCAGAAGACCTACTACACTGCTTGCTCTCCTGTTCAAAGGCGACGCAGATTTGGAAGACAAAGGAATCATTGTGGGTTTCACTAACAGGAGCACCCCTACCAGGTAATAGCATTACATGACTAATTGTACTACAGGCGCCAACCCTAGCTGTCACTTGGCAAATGACCTTTTTTCGGAGACTTCGACCTCTCACGCTTTGGATAATTTGGAAGAGAAGATGTAAGGAGACTATAGCTACCCACACCGTTCCCGAGCCGAAAGCTTGGCAGATTCTTCTTCACCTCGTACAGGCTGAATATCAAGCAGACTGAAACAGAGCGGCGAAGCTCAGCAAAACAGACCCCACCAAGCAACAAGAAATTGTCGACACATTTAAAAGAGAACGCCTGGGGGAGGTTAAACTAGGAGACATCGAAGGCATCACACGAAGGCTTGTCTGGAGCATCGCAGGGACCCAACAGGGAGTACAACACGAAGCAACAGAAGGCCTGACGACACTCGTTCCGTCACCAACAGAATCTGTTAACCTAGGCATGGTATGGCATGGACGCCAGTTTCAGAGAGCCATGATGTAGTTTAGGATAAGAATTATTAGTTTCACACAAATTCACAGTGATTAGCCTTCTGCATCTAGGATACTACGCCCATCTGACAGCTGCAATAAGCTGAGAGGAGTACGCAGGGCTAGTAAAAGCAAGTAGCGTGGTTAGAGGTAAGGAATGTAAGGGGTTAAGATACGCTTAACTAGGGTTACAGCAGAGATGAGTACACAAGGCTAGAGAAAGGAAGTAGTGTGGTACAAGTAGGAAGGGAGGGGTTATGATGGGAAACACGGGTCTAAGGTTCAATGCAAAAATTAGCATTGTAGCGGTAGTTATGTGTGTTACTAGAAGTTTAGGCTTTTAGGGGATCACTAAACCGCTGTGACAACGGAGAGGAGTACACAAGGATAGAGCAAGAAAGCGGAGAGGTAGGAAAAGTAGGGGTAAGAAAGGAGCAACTAGGGTTTAGGGTTTCAGCCCTGGAAGTAGAATCACAGCTTTGAGTTATGAGTGGTACTTCGATTCGGGTCCCATTGGGTCTCGTCAAAAGCATAACACTGGGTAAAGGAGCAACTAGGGTTTAGGGTTTCAGCCCTGGAAGTAGAATCACAGCTTTGACTTATGAGTGGTACTTCGATTCGGGTCCCGTTGGGTCTCGTCAAAAGCATAACACTGGGTAAAGCTCCCAGACCCGGTCTTTATGTCGGGTGGCCGGCCCCTTTTTTTGGGTGTAATTCAGGGTTGCATCCCTGCCGACCGCCGACCCCGACCTCCGACCGTATTGGAGCCGACCAGTAGGGCCGACCGGTCGGCGGTCTGCCGACCAATCAGAAAACAACCATCCACTGATTTTTTTTTCAAATCTGAGTTGGGGGCTGTACTGCGCTTGCTGAGTATTGCCCAAATCCTCTGAGAAACTTTTGGGGATGTGGGGGTTATGGGGGGGTTGGGGTTGGGGTTGGAGTATAGTGGGGGTATAGGGGGGTATAGGGGTGATATAGGGGGTATTGGGGGGGGTACTGAGTGTGTTGGGAGCGGTTGGGGGTGTTGGGGGGGTGTATGGAGGTAAAGAGGGCCGCTATGGGGGTGTT